GTAAGCTCAGTTGGAAGAGCATTGGGCTAGTATTCCAAAGGTCGTAGGTTCGAATCCCACCGTGGCCGGGCATATTTTTCAAGCTCGCCCGGTGTGGATATGCACTCAGAGTAACATCGCAAACATATGATATCAGACTTGTTGGAACAGCTTGTTACGAGTCTGTTGGCCTCGTCAACCTTGTTACAAGATGATAACAACTTGTTTCAGACTTTCCAACAACTGGGAACAAGCAGTGCGAACACATCTTGTTGAAGCTGTGAGATTTTTTCGCCTGTACACGACTCAATAAAGTTTATAGCGCAGCATTTAATTAACGTACTCGTGGCACTGGTCATAGTTTAAAGATAAAGAGCATGCAGAGCCCAGAAAATAACTTTAAAACCAAACATAATAAAAGTAAAAAAAATATTAGCTAACGTTGCGTTGTTTACAATACAAGCAATGTATGTCAATCCAAATGACTCATGAGCGTGTATAAGGCTCCATTGACATGAGAGCGGAACGAAGTCAAACCGGGACCATTTCGTTTCGGTCATAGTATTATTTATAATAGATGTTTACATGAGAGCGGGACACAAATAACTCAGACGGGTCTCAAGTCATTCCGCCTGCTGGAAACCGAGCCGACTGACTTCAGATCGGCAAGAATTCAGACTGGGATGAATATAAACACAAATACATTTCAGACCGGTCTCGGCTGTAACCTTGACATTGGAACAACACATGCTAACAAAAGCCATCTAAAAAAGAGAGTTGCCTAGCAAGGGGAATAAATTGAAAATTTTGTGACTTTCGTACCGGTCTCATGTAAACATGTTGACAATTCCAATTTTCATTCCGGTTCTCATGTAAAGGGGGCTTAATATTAAAGAGGATCATTTTTTAAACTGTTAAAAATATGATGTTTGTGATGTTACTCTGAGTGTATATCCACACCGGGCAAGCTTGAAAAATATTCACCTGAGTACATAACACCAACACAGAAAAAAAAAATCATGTTAAAAATATTCCTCACAACTGACAGTCTATTTTTATTTTAGGAATCTCTGGAACGCTTTCATAAAATCGATGTGCTTGTCTTAAACCATATTCTGTACGAAATCAAACTCTGGCAGGCGGACAGAAATTACAGTGACATCGCCAAAGCATTTAATGTGAATGTAATCAGTTACATTGAACTCGCAACCTTATTCCTACCCAGTCTGCAAGCATCACGCGGTCGCCTGTTAATCATTTCATCCGGGCTAGGACTGGTGACGTATCCCTACTTCGCTCTGTATTGCTCGAACAAACACGCATTGCATGGATTTTTTAATGCCCTCCGCCAAGAAATTGCGCTCAAAGGGAATAGGATGTCGGTAACAATAAGCGTATTGGGTGCCGTAGCAACTGACAATGCACTCAAAGCGGGCAGCGGAAATCCTGTGGCCGGTAGCAACGGCTGGTCTCGGCTTAGCTCCGTAGATGCTTCGAGTGTTGCCGTTGAAGCATCGTTGCATCGAGAAAGACAAATATATTTTCCATATTTCTTGAAGCTCCATGAAATTGGAAGTGCGCATTTTCCAGTACTTACGGAATGGTTGATACGATATGTTTACAATCTGGACGTTTAACGCTGGTTCTATTTGGTCATGGCTGGCCCAACCAAGTGCTGGTCGCCCATGTGAAATCATAGGGCGCTTTCCATTTAATGGCCTGACCGGTCAGACCCGAATTCTTTTCTCTGTATCAATGGGAAGATCTGGTCTTTGTTTCTCAAATATCTAGCGAAAATGGACCTCATTCTAATGTTATCTAAATTTTCCGGTCAGATAGGTCGGAAGCCCAAATGTTTTGTGTCCCATTCAACAATTTGACCGTTCTGACCGGTCCGGCCGTGTTAATGGAAAGCACCCATAGTCTTTCAAGATATCATCAGAAGGCATTGTATTATGCTTTTGTCCGAGTTTATGTTAATTTGTGCACAGTCACGGTGATTGAGCTCATTGTATTCTTGTATGATGAAGTAATCGTCGAATAGGGATAGCTGAGATGAATCGTGCAACCACGATGAAGAATATTTAATGAAGTTGAGACAAAGGATTTTTGCATGGCGAGGCACAGTTCAACATCAAACAAAGCTCTTCTATTTTGTGGCTTTGAAGTTTACCGGGATTCCAGACCATCATATCTTCACATACTATGTATCTCACAAAATCGGGTTATATCTTTTTGGTCCAGATTTAATGCAACTTTGCTGAAAGAATACTGATAGCCTATCATGCCTTCGTGTCTCTAAAGCTAAACATTGCTCCATTAAACTGCAAGTTTCCGAAATTTATTGGAACTTTGTTTAATGAAACAATAGTCTTTCATGCTTTATGGTAAATACACATACTCAGTGGCACAATGAATATGTTATCATTTACATCAGAATTGATTAGAGAGTGACCGCGCCCCTCGCTGTTTCATGCATTCATGTATCTTGTATGATAGATCTACTACGTCGGAGCACGTTGCTGATAGGCTAATTACGATGTAAGTGATAACATGACAAAAGATAGAAAAGAAGGTTTGCAACCAAGTTAGGCCGGGACAGATAACTGAACTCAAGAGATTACTATTGGCCAGCGAAAACACATCGATCACATTTTCCATAAATCTGGACTTCAGAATTCCTGAATCATCCTCATGGACATAAAAAGCAATGAAGGATAGCATTAATTATATGTAGATTTTGATGTTTTAGACGTGAACCTGCCTTGGTTTAAAATCTTATTTAAAATCGACAAGATGATAAAGTTTACGACTGAATTTAGTAAACATTGTATTATTTAATATATTTAGCGAAGTTAACCGTGTATGGTGACGTATGCATAGTGAACATAATAATTCTAAACACGGGACATTTTTCTACAATTTTATTTCAAAAACTAGAAACACTATACAAACTGGCCGAGTGACTTTGCAAAGAAACTTTTTACCATATCACAGTTTGGAATTTTGTAAATAACCGAAACATTAACGATAATACTTTTTCAATATCATATTATACACAAATGAACACAACTGTTGTTTGTTAACAGTTTGTTAAAACTGGATCAGCACGTTTATATAACCATTGTCACGAAATTAACATTTTCTGAAAACACACATGCAAGCTTGCCGCTGTTCTGATAATGTAAGCATAGAATGGAACAAAGGTAACCAAGCGTTTAAATTGTATGCGCGAATAAACTGGTCTAATACATGTTTATGCCCATTGCTACACAATTCAGGGTTTTAGACAAGTCACATGACTATGTTACTGGTCATAGATTTATCAGAAAATATGTTAAATTCTGGTTATTTCAATACAATCCTCCAAACAAATTCAGGAAAACTTTCAACTCCCCTCCCGGAAAGCATCAGGCCCGTACGCCTATGTGCCTAAGAATGGAACAAAGGTGATCCAGTATTAAAATTATATTCACATCTTGCCATTTTGGGTTCAGGCAAATTTATGTATTGTGACGTCACTTGCAAGCGCTGAATACGTAGAAGAGAATTGAGTGTCAACGGCTTTAAACATGCGTGTCGGTGATATACGGTAGACCTTTTCCATACTTATGTCATGAATACTTTCTTGGCCTGTAAACCTTGCTCTCATGAATCAGAACACGAGGCGATTGGCTCATGTTTCATCAACAGTTTGTGTCTGTGTAGTTACTGCCCATAATATAGACCCATTTCCACTCAGGAAAATTTTCTGCAGAAAGAAAATTTTGTAAAATGTGATTGGCCGACACAAATTTTACGTGGGGAAAAAAATTTTGAAGTTGAAAATTTTCAACTTTTAACAATGATATTTTCGGAAAATTTTCTGTTCGTGGAAATTTTCTGTCCGTGGAAATTTTCTGTTCGTGGAAATTTTCTGTTCGTGGAAATTTTCTGTTCGTGGAAATGGGCCTTAAGAAAGCTTCGGATTGATAGGGATACAACTACCTGAAAAATACAAGGAGAACTTCGGCGGTTCGCTCGTCGGTTATTTAACTTCCCGATGAAGAACCTTCGCTCGAAACGTCGAAGTCCTCTTTGTATTTTTCTGGGGTTTTTTCAGGTAATTGCATGCCTATATCAATCCAGAACTTTCATTATTCATGATGCTCCCAGGCTAAGGAGAGATTTATGACGTAAGTACCGAAATGGTGTATTAATGGAAATGGCAATATATTTTTTATTTTCTCATTAGAAAGAAATTTTAAGATTATATACAATACTCTTTTACCTTCATTTCATATCTTGCTTTCTTCTACAAATATTTTGATCGAAAGGAATGAAATGTCCGCCATCTTCAATTTTTGTAGATATGCATGTGACGTCACAACAGGGGTGACGCAATATTTTTATCTAGACAACTACTAATTATTTTGCATTCAAAACTATACTCTGTCTGCCCTTCGAAATATCAAGATCACTCAAAACCTACCAAAAACAACTACCAATCAATATTTGATCAGCAGCGAATACTTTTATATGGTTAATCCCGGTTGTGACGTTACCAAAACTACCGTTAATGAGATCAAAAATTTATCCAAAATGGCGGACATCTCATTACTTCATGTGAAAATATTTCAAGATCTAAGCAAGATATGAAAAATCGAAGAAGTTAATATATATAGTTTCAAAAGTTCTTTCAAATGAGAAAATAAATATTTATATTGCCAATTCCCCTTAACAAAAAAGTCGACAATGGTAAAATCACTACGATACAGCACAGTCCAAAATAATTTCCTATTTACACAGTAAATTTAATCAATCAACATCGTTTTCATTTAATTTCTACAACAATCTGCTGCACGTCGGTGGTTATCGATGTTCAAACGTCACAAAATAACCAATTTCTGTGAGCATGAAGAATTCCAAGGGAGATCTTTGTGTTAGCAAGATGTGTCATTGGCCTACTTCGCGTTGCCCAGTGTGCTTAAGTCGTAATATTTTCTCTCTACTTGACAATATTCAGGCGAGAGCTAGCAAAATATCTGCAAAAGTAAAAAAAAAAGAGTTTAGCATGATTAAATAATGCAAAAGTAGTACATATTCTTGAATATAGGCTACCTTAAAGTGACTTGATGTTTTACAGAACTCACTGATGAGTTAAACATGGTTAGATCATGCAGAAGTAGTACATGTTCTTCAATGTGGGCTACCTTAAAGTGGTCTGATGTTGTAAAGAACTCACTGCTGAGTTAAGCATGGTTAAATCATACATAAGTAGTACATGTTTTTGAATGTGAGCTACCTTAAAGTGGTCTGATGTTGTACAGAACTCACTACTGAGTTAGCATGGTTAGATTATACAGAAGTAGTACATGTTCTTGAATGTGGAATACTTTTAAAGTAATCTGATGTTGTACAGAACTCACTGCTGAGTTAAGAAATGTTAGATCATACATGTATTTCGAACGTGGGGATCACATTGGAGTGGCCTACATTCAAGAACATGTACTATACAATATATCTAATCATGCTTACCAAAGAAGGATTATACCCCAAAGAGACGTGTGGTACTGGTATTTCTTGTGAATCAAATTAAAAAATGGTTAACTTACAGGCTGTTGTTGTTGAGTTGGAGTGGTGGCCATACTTCGTAATGCGAGCGGGTAATCACTCTCGCAAAATATTCTGTCATTTACAAAGTGTATACGGTCTCCGGTGACCAGTCTCGTGTGACATGCGCAGCACGTGAAACAACGCATGTGGTAGGCTTTGTCTCGTATCTTCATCACCATCTCAGCCGCAGGGATCAGCTCTTGACATACTGCACATGCGCCGCCACTCGAACCATATAACCTGCAAGAAGAACGGAGGAACTTTAAAATAAACTGAAATATTTATACTCGAGGTTATTTAAACCAAACTAACTTTATTTAAACTAGATAAGTCCAGTATTACTACAGAAGGGAACCTAAACTAAATTAACTTTATTTATACTGGATAGCTCTATCAGTTCTAAACTGTTCTTCCTAGAGGTCCAGTAAGCATCTCTTCTTGATCCAGTGTTACTACAGAAGGAAACCTGAACTAAACTAACTTTATTTATACCGGATAGTTCTATCAGTTCTAAACTGTTCTTCCTAGAGGTCCAGTAAGGATCATCTCTTCTTCACTTGATCCATAGTGTTACTGCTGAAGGAAACCTAAACTAAACTAACTTGATTTATACCGGATATCTCTATCAGTTCTAAACTGTTGTCCCTAGAGGTCTAGTATAAAGGTCATCTTTGATCTTATTGATCCAGTATTACCACAGGAGGAAACCTAAACTGAACTAACTTTATTTATACTGGATAGCTCTATCAGTTTTGCGACTTTGTCCATCTGCTTGAATAACATATTACTCCGCAACAAAATTTTCCCAAACAAAATGCCGCAAAAACAATCAAATTCAAAAAAATGCAATAAGTGCAATTACTAAAGTGAAGCACATTATCTCTTTAATTGCGTTTCATTTGTTGCGGTCCAAACATCACTTAAACGAAAAGCCATATTCACTTAAGAATTTTTTCTCCGAGTTCAACTCTACTTTCCCAATTCAATTTTCACTTTAAAAACTCTTTATGTCGACTTAGCAGGCTACAGCTCCCCTTGCGTTTGTAACTTGAAATTTAAGAGGAACTTTTTGAGGAATTCAGTAAATAACAATGCTTAATTTTGTTTTTGAATTCAAAATGAGTCTCTGTATCAGCGAAATAACATTTTACTCGTGTTAATTGAATAAGTTGTCAAGAGATGTTATCGACTTACTTAATTGAACCGTTTCGGACAATATATTTGGTTGTATATATTACGACGGCTAAAAACGCGGATAACGATAATGCGGAGGTTTGGGTAAATACGTCTGAGCCTTTATACAATTTTTTGTTTCTAAGCCATTTGTAAGCCACCATCTCTTATTGCTCCAGTGTTACTACAGGAGGAAATCTAAACAAAACTAACTTTATTTATACTGGATACAGTAGCTCTATCAGTTCTAAACTGTTCTTCCTAGAAGGCCAGTAAGGATCATCTCTTATTGATCCAGTATTACCACAGGAGGGAAACCTAAACTGAACTAATTTTATTTATAGAGGTCCAGTAAGGATCATCCCTTATTGATCCATGCAGTGTTACTACAGGAGGAAACCTAAACTAAATTAATTTTATTTATATACTGGATAGCCGTATCAGTTCTAAACTGTTCTTCCTAGAAGTCCAACAAGGATCATCTCTTATTGATCCAGTGTTACTACGGGAGGGAACCTAAACTGAACTAACTTTATCTACAGTATACTGTATACTGGATAATTCTATCAGTTCTAAACTGTTCTTCCTAGAGGTCCAGTAAGGATCATCTCTTATATTGATCCAATGTTATACTACAGAAGGAAACCTAAACTAAATTAACTTTATTTATACTGGATAGCTCTATCAGTTCTAAACTGTTCTTCCTAGGGGTCCAGTAAGGATCATCTCTTATTGATCCAATGTTACTACAGGAGGAAACCTAAACTAACGTTATTTATGTCCCTATTGGTCAAGTCTTATTACAGGAGAAAATTTGGTTAGCTATAGAAAACCTACATGTGGTGTTTGGTAGAGTCAAACTGGAAGCGACTGAGGTGAAATTATAATCAGACAACTGGATATTACAAGAATCAAACCCAGGTCACAGAGACTAAGGACACAAGCACTATATAAATTAACCACTTGAATTGGCTCAACGATATTGTTTTTATAATATTAACATACGAATATTGTTGTTATCAACACGAAATGAAATATGCATGACAAAGATATTTTCCTAATGAACGCATTACTGTCCATTCTGTTCCCGTACACAACAGCTCATTAAATTTAATTGAAATTTTAAAATAAGAATGATAAAACAGCCACTTTAATAAGACAAATTCAATTTCATTACATGCCCGTAATGAGTTTTCAGTTTTCTCATTCAAATGAGTATTCTTAATTTGTTCATTTTAATAACTTTACACGCTATGGAAAAATTAATGGATGTGTTCGACAAATAATTAAAATTTTGAGTGGATATCTTGTTGTTTGGGGGAGAAAAAGAACTTATTGAATACGTATATATATAAAACCTTTCGTTGCGTGGCGCCGTGCAAATAAAAAAAAATTGCCGATATTACACGAAGCAATTTTTGGTTGAAAGTGGGAAATTCGTACCAATATCGGCATAATATAGGCAAGAAAAACATCAAAGTAAAAACAGTCACTTAATTTTAAAAGTATATATATGTACATTTCCAAAGTTAATGTCGGCAGGGCTCAAAATAACGGACGGCCAACAATCAATGACCAAATGTTTTGTCAAGAATACCTCGAACAATGCTTTCTCCAAGATAACCAACCGACCCTAAGTCATTAAAATTAGTGCATGCGTCGAAAATTCATAGCGTCTGCAAAAATGCATCGTGTTTTAGGTTTTGAGAACTAAATGTTGTTAAAATGTCAGGATTTTAATGGATGAGATACCCGGCTGTAAATGTCGGCCATTGTCCCATGTACAATTTAAAAGGTGCCTTGTGTCTATATACGAATGGTGTTCGCACGTTTTAATGATACGTGTTCATTTATTAAAGCCATGTTTCTGTGTTTGTTCAGGTTTGCTAAGGCTAAAAATATTCGTTTAATCTTCATCTACTTCCCCGTCAAACTAATGCAATAATTTTTCAAACGTCTTGTCGTCAAGGTGTTTTGGCGAGATTAGATAAACCGCTGAGACAGTATCTTAATTTAAATGTTCTCATAGTTTCTCGCCCACTCGCGCAGAGAGCAATGAGAGACAATTATAGTGTAGGAAATTTTTTTTACGCAGTGTAGTTTTTATATCTGAAAAGAAATTGAATCTGATTTGGATCGAAGAATGGTCCATTTTTTGGCGATGTTCTTAGCAACAGTAGCTATGGACATGTGTGAAAGATACAGCGAGCGATAGCCAAGTGCTTTGTCTATAACGCCCGTATTCTGAAAGCTCACTCACACTCACACTCAATGAGTGGAGGTTCAATTTGAGCTTCTCTTGAGTGTCAGTGCTGTTTTTGAATAGCTGGAGGGTGAGTGGTCATATAGTAAGGTACGACACTAACCATTCAGCTATTCAAAAACAGCAATGACACTCGAGAGAATCTCAGAGTTGAACTTCCACTCATCAAAGTTAATGGAACTCATTGAGTATGAGTGAGCTTTTAGAATACGGGCGTAAGTCTTCACATCAATACAATGTCGACAATGGATCAACTAGCTAAGTCAGAAAGTTGATCATTGATACGATCCGGATAACGTCTTCATTAGAACTGATTTGCGATCTCTACAGGTTCGACCTTCTACTGACGAATGAGTGAGGAACTCGATAAACTCCGGGGCTTAGATCACATATGCGCGTCCCAGGTTAATCGTAGAGATCAGTGGGTCACCCAAGCAGTTCATTCGGGTCCCCTGTTCTTCAACTGAAGCACATGCTGCTAATAGAAACAGGGTATGTCAACAAACCGCTAAAAGCTTATTAAGTTTCTCGGATTTAATTACGCTTCGAACGTAATGGGTTTTGCTTGAGATGAAAGTAAATCATTAAGATTCTGACACAACAACTCGAAAACGAATCAAGTGTCAAAGCCGACCAATTAAAACGCTTTCCTAAATGTTACACGAGATTTTTCATTAGTGTAAAGTATTAAAGCCATTGTTCGCAAAATGAAAGCCGTCCATTAAAGACATTAAATGAGCGAGATATATTAACTATTTTCCGCCGTTGGTAATGAAGAATTGTAGTCTTTAAGATCAGAAGAGCGATCTGTCAGCGCAATTGAGATAAAATCAACTCAAAAATAATTGCAAATGGCTGAAAAGCAAACGTTTGTGGTCGCTGGCAAAATATTATCTCAAACGTTTCTGCTATATAGGTATTAAACTTAACCACAAAATTATCTGAGGGATTTTGTCAAACGATGCTAGTATAGATGAATTAGCTATTTTCACTTTGTCTATTTCGTGCTATTTTTTTCAAAGTTTGGCGTGTAATTCTGAGAGTTAATTAACATATTCCTGAAGTGGTGATTTTGAAATTTAAATGAAGAACAGTTTTTAATTTTCCAATACAACAGTGGTCGGTAAACACTTAACTCTTTAAAATTGAAGCGGAAATAAAGGGGGGATTAAACTGTCTATTCATTTGTATGTAAAATTATTGAAAAAGTGTACTCTTTAATAGAAATGGATTTAGGTTATTAAAATGTCGTGTCGAATAGCAGTATGTATATTATAGTCAAATAGGTTTTGATGGCTAGCGACAGTCTAAAACAAAGGACATGTATTTCAAGACCACTACCCACACTGAGAACCAGCAGTTTGAAGTTTAGACTAGTGAGAATCTACCGCAAACGACGTGTATTTCAAGACCACTACCTACACTGAGAACCAACAGTTTGAAGTTTAGACTAGTGAGATTCTACCACAAAGGATGTGTATTTCAAGACCACTATCTACACTGAGAACCAACAGTTTGACGTTTAGACTAGTGAGAATCTCCCGCAAAGGACGTGTATTTCAAGACCACTACCTACACTGAGAACCAACAGTTTGACGTTTAGACTAGTGAGAATCTACCGCAAAGGACGTGTAATTCAAGACTACTACCTACACTGACAACCAACAGTTTGAAGTTTAGGCTAGTGAGAATCTACCACAAAGGACGTGTATTTCAAGACCACTACCTACACTGAGAACCAACAGTTTGAAGTTTAGACTGGTGAGAATCTACCACAAAGGACGTGTGTTTCAAGACCACTGCCTACACTGAGAACCAACAGTTTGACGTTTAGGCTTGTAGAATTTGTCAAATAGAACTGATAGGGCTATCCATTTATATAAATAAAACTAGTTTAGTAAATACAACTGGTTTATACCATCTTTCTTACCTTAAATAATCATTCTTGCAGAGAATCATTCCTCCTTTAGAAAAGCAAGAAGTCCCAACCTCGCCCAGCCTTACATTACAACACGAGCATTGAAGACAATCCATATGCCAGTATTTGTCAAGAGCGTGCAAGAGAAATCTTTCCAAAATCGTTCTTCCACATGCTGCACAACTTTTTGATTTGCTCTCACAAGACATATCTGAAATAAAGCGAAAAAAAGAATGAGTTCACAAGCAATAACATGTAGCAAGGCTTGTGAAAATCCATGCATTTGAAGACTGCTACCTATACGACCTATACGGCTTATACGGCCTAAAAGCCTATACAGCTTGAAGTATATAGCCTATAGGCTAGCAAGAATCTGTCATCTTAAAATACACGCCTTTTAGTTGTAGATTCTCTCGAACTTGCGTACACAGATAATTTTGTGCGTGTAGTCCGTCTAGACCGATGCTACGTGTGAATAAATACGGCACTGGACAAAAACATATCTGGAAAATATCAGGAATGATCAGAATAACGCGACCTGGTTCGTCTTCTGTTTACACTAAGAACTAAAACATCTGTCAGAGGCTAGGACGATGCGTCGAGACATCATCCTCTAGTTTAAATCGGGCAATTGGCCGGCATACCCAACCGATTTTCCTGTTTCTTTTTATGCTCACATGAAAATGTAATATGAACGTGTCACTCAACAAATAAGCCGGTTAAGCGAATGTAAAAAAATTACTGACAACAACAATAAGTCAACCACAAAAAGATATGCTGCAAAGGCGGGACAGTATGTTTTTGGATAAGAAATGTTTTGTTGACTGAAACGTTGTTTATTTGAAGTTATATGAGCCGAGATAATTTTCCAAGGCTGACTTGACTTTATGATAACCTTTACTTAGCTTGGACGCAATAACAAAAGAGTTGAAAAAATAAACAGAAAAAAAACTTATTATTGATACAGGATAGCTCTATTAGTTCTAAACGTAAGCCCTAGTTACACGATATCGGATACAATTGGTATGTATAATGTCCTCTCATAATTACATTTTCCCCATCCGCGTCAATGCAATCCGCATTCCACAATCACGTTCTTCCACATTCCGCAATCCGCGTTTTCGCAACGCCTCGCAAACAATTCGGTGAAATAACTAATTTCGAAACGACCGCAGTGCGGATATATAATCCGCATTATCTAAACAGTTTGTGGCTTATAGAAAATTGACGGGCGCAAATGAAACATATATTAAAATTATAATAATACAAAATTTACATGAGTCGTTATGCTTGCAATATCTAGTTTCGAACATTAAAATCACTATCTATATCCAAGCCTATAATCTGGAGATAGCAGAAACATTTATTTCAGACACGATATAATAAGGAAAATATAGCAATAAGGGAACAGAATAATCTAAGCGCTTTTAATATAAATATAGTAATCCGATGCATTTGTGCCCAAATTACGAGTTTTACAGCGTACTGACGCAATCAATACGGGAATTTGACCATTTGTCAATATGACGTGCTTCTGCTAAAACTACGGCCTGTGAACCGCTATACTCTACAAACAAAACTGCTCGACTCACACAAATAATTTGGACTTTAATGAAAGCGACATGATTTATTGGACAACTAGCTAGCTAAGTCAACACGACAACAAATACATTTATATTAAATAGCCTCCAGAACTAATAAGACGTGAGGACAGATTCTATATACGGTGTTTAGTGGCGAAGGAATTATATCATCGTTTGTAACTTAAACTATACGTTCCAGAGCGCTTTTAAGGCTATACGAACACTGATTCTTGAATACATTCGAGTACACTTGTCTGTGTGCTGAAACTCAAGAGTTACAAGGAAGTTTAACTTTTACTGTATAGCTGTAAAATTAAGAAGTGTAAATGTGCTATATTGCGCGTTGAATGACATCGCATCCTTTTGCCTTATAGGTATAGTTTATAAAATAAGACTACTCTAATAGCTTATATTGCGAATCGAACAGTCTGTATAGAACCGATTCCTGATTTGAAACGTTTTGCCGTATAAACAATTGGAAGCATATGTTTATTTTACTTACTTCGGGAGGACTGCATCTTTAGTGGTTTGGTAGTTTATATTAGTACAATTCACACAGCTCATCAGCGTACAAACAGCAATTCTTTAGGACAATTGAATTGATAGCCCGGTTTAGATGAAACTTCGACTAGATGTAGCGGTGGAATACAGAGCTATAGACTAGCGCGGAACCCAAAGCATACTGCCAACGGAAAGGCGAAGCCTGTTTGTTAAATATAATAATCTTGATAACAAGTTGACGGGGCAGAAGTGCTGCTCATCATAGCCCGAGTCTAAATTAACTTTAATCAAGCTTCCCATCAAATTGAATTGGACAAGTCGGGCCACGCTGATTGGCCCAGGAAGTCACAAATCGCAATTAAGTTAGAAACCTTATCGCTATAACAAAACGCGTAATTATTGCCATGATATATCGAGACTTCACTTCAGGAATTAATTAAATAACACATTAGCGAGATGTTTTGTCATTTCGTGTGGAGGATATATAAGGCGTGGGTTGTCGAGAGCAGAGGAGCGTGGATAAAATGTAAACTTAAGCGGTCTGTGCCATATCTGTGCCAGTACAAGTAGTGGATTGATGGAACTACCTGAAAATACCTATCAATATTTTCTTATATCCTATCAATACGGAGCTTTGATAAAATGTGAAGGATAAAGAAAGGTTGACTTCTACAGTGTTTGGTTTCAAGCACTTCCTGAAGGGGAAATTACGAGGTTGACAATAAAGTTCTTTGTTAAATTTGCGTGAGCCCTCTTGATGAGCCATTGCTCACAGGGCAAACGCTGTACAATAAAAATGTTTAAATAAATTTTTAAAAAAAATTAAAAAAAGTTAATTCAACTTTGTGAACAGAGGTAAAAGGGTGTTAAGCCGCCTGGAGTGTTGATTCAGTCATGGAGACATCGAACAGAAAGACGAGGAAAAGTTGAGGGTTAGAGAATAAGATGGAGAGATATTGTGAAAACAGAACTAAACCAAAGTGAAGAGGATGGCCAGGATAGAGTGTAGAGGAAGATCCAATCATGGCAGTATGAAGACATCGAATTGAAAGAGGAGTAAAAGTTTATAGACAGAGAATGAGATGGAGAGATATCGTGGAAAGAAACACGAAGATACTAAACCTAAGACAAGAGAATATCCTTGTTAAGGATAGAGTGTAGAGGGTGATCCAATCAAGGTAGTATGGAGACATCCAATAGAAGGACGAGGAAAAGTTTAGAGACAGCGGATGAGATATTGTGGAAAGAGACATGAAGATACCAAACCAAAGACAAAAGGAGATCCTTGTCAAAGACAGAGTCCAGAAGGAGAAACGAGGGTGCTAAACCAAAGTGAAGAGGATGGTCAAGGATAGAGTGTACAAGAAGATCCAATCAAAATAGTTCAATAGAGAGCCAAAAGACAGAGGATGAGATGGAGAGATACTGTGGAAATAAATCTAGGGGTACTAAACCAAAGACAAAAGAATATCCTTTCCAAGAATGTAGTGTATAGAGGGTGATCCAGTTAAGGTAGCATGGAGAGATCTAATAGAAAGACGAGGAAACGTTTAGAGATAGTGGATGAGACGGAGAGAAAGTGTGGACGGAAGGAGATCTGAGGGTACTAAACCAAAGAATATAGCGTAGAGAGTGACCCAGGAAGACATCTATTTCATTGAAAGACGAGGAAAAGTTAAGAGACAGAGGATCAGACAGAGAGATATTGTGAAAAAAAAGACACCAGGGTACTAAACCGAAGTGAAGAGGATGTCCAGCATATAATGTAGAGGGAGATCCAGTCAAAGTGGCATGGAGACATTCAATTGAAAGACGAGGAAAAGTTGGGAGACAGAGAATGAGATGGAAAGATATTGTGGAAAGAGACGTGAAGATACTAAACCTAGAACGGAAGAAATCAAACAGGTGCAAGCTGCCGACCACACGACACTCGAAAGCTTGTCTCGGCCTCGGCGTATTACTGCACTCAAACGCGCGCTGATACGTTTCATCTAGAAACAGACCCGATCTATCTGAAACTAGCAAAAGCACATTATGTTCCAAAACGGGATCAACAAACAATTTGTGTTTCGACTGAATTTCTGACCAAAACCGTTATCAAATAATTGCTTTCAGAATTCATTTTTTGAATATATGTAGATAAAATTCGTTTTTCAGCAGCCACTCAGGAACAAAAATCATTTTAAAATAAATGGAATTATAATTGCGCCTACGCTGGTCATTAAAAGCTATATAAAAATACATCCCCTTCTGTTAATGAAATGTAAATGGCATCTTTTAAATCAAGCGCTGTAATGTAATTAAAAGCCAGCGCATTGGTTAATTTAAATAAAAAAATTAAAAGGTACTCTTGAAAGTATGCATTTTTCAACTGAATAGATACTATTGCCAAGCCTCCCATTTTGTAAACTATACAAGGCAGTGACACGAGCGAAAAATATGAGAACCTCTGGCAACGAGGGTATAATTTTATTTATACTGGATCGCTCTATGAGTTCTAAACTGTTCTCCTTGGAGGTCCAGTAAGGATCAATTCATGATGAGCAATGCGAGCAAGTCGCTAAGCATAGAAAAAGCACTTGAAACTTCTCAACTAAACACTCACTAACAAATTAACATTGTGGCAATGTTCTCGCGCTAAAAGGACAATTGGGAAACCGCTAGAGCAAAAACATTATATCAGTACAATATTGATTATGAGCACACCAATTGAACATCAGTCTTTCCATGGAATGCCGAAAATCGTCCGAATCTTTTTGACACAACAATTATAATACTGCTAATTTTCTGCGATGTTTAAAAGTTTATGCACGTCCTACGCATTCTATGGCAATGTAACACAACATGGCATGTTCTTAAAAGCTTTTTCATAATATCAAAGAGCAAACTTATTTTGGCGCCAAATGGTTCGCTAATTTCACAAGTTCTTTGTCTCGAATTCAAAAGCGGCTATCGTAATGAGCCCAATTTTGTTCTAGCGAAAGTATACGAGATTTAAATTCGAATTGAGTTTACTTAACGAACAATTCTCCTTAATTACGGTCTTAAGGCCAAATGCAATATGCCGTGGTGCGAGCTATTTTGAGTATAGACTTAGTGGTGGGGCAGTATAAGACCTGTATTGTGAATACGGACTCGGAACTGGATTCTGGAACAGAGAAAGGACCGGGTCTCAGTATTTTTGTGTACATAATGCCCCATAATGGCTCATGTTTTGTGAAAAATTATGCTGTTGGCTTGGTGTCGACCAAAAAACATCACTCAATATATACATATACCCCAGTATAAATCCTACCATGATCATGTAGTTTTCTGTATACTCATTATATATAATCTACTCGAGTACAAATCCCACCATGTCCATGATCAAGTAGTTTTCTATTGCCTGGTGTGGATATATATCACTTGGAGAATATCATCCAATATATATAATCCACATGAGTTTAAATCCCACCATGACCATGATATTTGTTTGGTGAGGATATAACTTTATAACTAGTTGAGTACAAATCCCACCATGATCAAGTAGTTTTCTACTTGTCTGGTGTGGACATCTCTTGACTCTTGGGAATATCATCCGATATGTATAATCTACCTGAGTCGGTTCAAATCCCACCATGATCAACTATTTTTCTACTTGTTTGGTGAGGGTATAACTTGAGTACAAATCCCACCATGATCAAGTAGTTTTCTACTTGTCTGGTGTGGACATCTCTTGGAGATTATCATCCAATATGTATATTCTACCCGAGTACAAATCCCACCATGATCAAGTAGTTTTAACATGAAATAATTATATTTTGACTGGATAGTTCTATCAGATCTAAACTGTTCTTCCTAGAGACGAGAGATCTATTCAGTTTTACTACAGGACGGACGCATTTGTCATACAACTGCATGCATAGGGCTGCGCAACACTTCACATATTCCTCATGTCAACCCATTCTGACGTTTTCCTTAAATATGACTCCACAACTACAATCCAGGACTTACTATACGCCTCCCTCTCCCGCAAACTCAGTCATTTATCGCGCGCGTTAATCGAAAGTAAACTTGAAGCAATTAAAACAAAAGTTCTGAAAATGCCACTATCGCGCATCTGCTCAAAATATAATTAAGTGTTGAGTGTTTCGACCAATGAGAGGCAACGCGCACTGCAGGTGGGAGTGAAATTAACATCGTTATTTGTAGCTTGTCCATTAGGGCTTTCAGAAATGAACTAAAAACAAGCTCTGTTTTAAAAGTGTCTAGCAGATATCGCAAGATAACATTCATGCCATGTGGCTATCTAACGTAAATACTATTTAGATGATGTATAACTGAATAGTAGCCCCTTGCCCAGCCAATCGTTACTTAGATTTAAGAAATATTACCTTCTCATATAAATTTGTTAGTACTTGTAAAAGTAATTACTTTGGGATAGCCTACATTCAAGAACATGTATACTACCTATGTATGATCTAACTATGCTTCACTCAGAGAAACTTAACTCTACTAAAATAAATTCTGTACAAAATCAGATCAATTAAAGATATCTTACATTCAACAACATATACAACTTCTGTATGATCTATCCATGTTTAACTCTGCTAATACGAGAGCTCTGCATACAACATCAGCTCACTTTAAGGTAGCTTATATAATCAAGATTATGTTCTAACCATTCTTAATTCAGCAACCTACATAACTACATTCCAGAACATGTACTACCTAATCATGCTTAACCCCCAAACGCCCACCCAAACAGACAAGACCCAATTTCCAAAGATCTTGAGAACCTATATTTATGTAATTCATTCCACGAGAGGTATCAAGGGCCATTACTCAAAACAACCAGACTCCCTGTCTCAGCCACTAATGGACTCAAAATGCTTCAAGTTTGGGGCCATTTAACTCGGCGTTTCCGCGTTTCGTCAAAATAAACCTTGTACGGGCTGATAACACGTTATCTTTGAAAACAAACGCGGGAAATGTGTGACAGCAGGGTGGAAACAGCGAGTCTACAGCATCTGGTATTTGTAGATAGGCGTGCTGTCGACGTGTTGTGTGTAAAGATATAAAGAGGGCTGCAGGGTCATGATTAACACTGTAATTAAAGCCATCCAAGACTCATCACTTGCCAGAAAACATGTCAGAAATATAAAAAATCTGTTTGGGTAATGGATAAAAGGGTTTATAGGTGGTACCAGTTTACAGTCTGCAACGAGTGTTGACTTATGTAAACATTTTCACCTGGACTGGATAACCCTATCAGTTCTAACTTTTAATCTCCCCTTCTTCAGGTCAGCAAAGGCCATTTCCCAGTGTTACTACAGGAGGAAACCTATAACTAAACTAACTTGATTTATACTGGATAACTCTATTGGTTCTAAACTGTTCTTCCTAGAGGTCCAGTAGGGATCATCTCTTATTGATCCAGTGAAAATAAACTGTATTTGTTTTTTCTCTTTAAGTAGGAGATGTTTGGAAATTCAAAGATTAAAAGATTGAGGATGTTTTGGTATGCAAATTCTCTAATGTTGCTTCAAATGGTATTCCTATATTAGTTCCTGGTACACTCATTATAAGAGTATTTTCAGTTGGACTGTCTACGGATCAATAAGAGATGACCTTTACAGGACCTCTCGGAAGAGCAGTTTAGAACTTATAGAGCTACCAGCATAAATAAAGTTAGTTTAGTTCAGGTTTCCTCCTGTGGTATTAACACTGAATTAATAAGGAGTTTCCCTCACTGGACCTCTATAGGAAGAATAGTTAAGAAATGATAGAGCTATCCAGTATAAATACAGTTAGTTTACTTTACTAAAATTTCCCAATGCATTTGACACAAAAATTCACAAATCGTAGAGGTATATTACTAATGCATTATATGACCATTAGTTCAAGTGAATTAAATGCTTGATGTTTATAGTTAAACAAATATTATTGGCGGCTAAGTCAACAGCTAGTACTATAGGATTACTAATATGTATGGCACTTTGTTATAACTCTGGCTTTTTAAAAGCTTTACTCAACAGAGTTTTTGGTCAAACATAACATTTGACGACCCCCCAAATTTCTTTGTTACGTCATTAATTAGGTGTTATGGGGCGCCATCTTGGTTGACTAATTCTTACACACTGAAATTAGTGAAATAGTTGCAATGGTTTCTATAAACAACAGTTGAATGTACTTTACTTTTTCTTAACAACTGTGCCAGCCCTTCACTGCTTGGCAAAATGTCGCAGGCAAATTTCATGATTTTTCATCAATCTATTATTATTCCTTGCAGATTTTTACAAACGATGTTCTAGCACCCACAGGTCACAGTAACTATATGGTATAGAAAATATCATTTAATTGATGAAAAAATTAAAATACCAAATATCACAAAGGATTTTTCATGGTATCTACAATCGAAATAACGAATTCTAAAATGGTTTTGTAGTGGGATTTTATACATTTATATCGCAAATGTTCGTGAGTCCTGGTTAGGTTCCATTTCCATCTAGAAAATCCTTTTTTTATATTAATGTTTGTTCCTGACCTGAAATGTCAAGTTTAAAAGCCGCTGCTAACAATGACGAGACTTAGCGAAGTGTTTTTAATCGTTTGAAATAACAAAATAGAGTTTTAGCTATAATTTTTCCCTTGTCGTAACTTTGACCGAACTTAACGGCTGTACAGTTCCCCCCGTGCGATCTACAAAACGCCCAAGCACCCCCTGGCCTCTTTACATAACACATTAGCAATAACAACTAAATACTATATACAGAATTCATCGAATTTTAAATACAAATACGCGAATACAAACGGTTCCTTACATACTTTAAACGTCCCACATCGTAAATATACACTTTCCTACCTTCAGAAACTTTGATACAACGAAATTCTGCACTTTCTAACAAAATATTGAACGGAGACGTTTAAAACACAACTCACTGTCAAGACCATTAACTCGAACTGGAATTTACTGCTAAAATGCATTTGACTAATAAAACAACACTTAACATGCCTTCCATTAAAAGTTATAATTAAAAAACAATTTTGTTTTAATAATGTCATGCATTACGTAAACTGGCGCCAAACCATCTGCCTGTTTCCGACCAGAGCATGGCCTGGACTTATATACACTGGATTCTTAGACTGTATTTGGAAGCGCTTTTGTAAATGGAATTTCCGAGTGTAATTTTTATACATTTATTATAGATCTATAACCAGAAACCTCTGACCAGAAGCAGTTGCTATAAGCAATTATATAATACCTTCTTGAATTCTGATCGTTTAATTGGCTGTTTATGGTCATGTGATATTGAATAGAAAATTCCATTTCCCAAGAGTGCAATGGAATACGTTCCATTGCACTCTTTTGCGAGTACAATTGTACTATATACGTTTTATTCCATTGCATGCACTCTTTGTGTTTTCGATAAATCGCATCCGTCAAAATGCTTCTCATACGAATCTATTAGTCTATTTTGGTATTATACAGGGTGAGTAAAAACTTTGTTATTCAGATTAGCCGCGAAGGTATCAGTTTTTTTTATTCACCCTCATGTATAAAACAAATAATGAATGTTTATTCGTGCAATGGTAAGAATATTTTCATTCGGTGAAAGATGGAATGTTCCATTTAACTCGGCTGTCGCCTCGTTGAATGTAACATTCCATCTTTCACCTCATGAAAATCTTCTTACCATTGCACGAATAAACATTCAATATTTGTATGCTATATTCCTGCTCTCTGGCAGGAATTGAACCTCCAATGCAGCGCTCTAACCAACTTATGGAACTAGAGTCTAGAGATTCAGTTGTCAGGTTTTACCCATTGAGTGAGATGTTCAAGGTTCCTGGATTACACTGGATTCGTCTGGTCTTGGACAGGCTACTGACCAAATATCACTTACGTTAGAAATATCTTAAATTATAGTGTTAATTATAGAGGGCCCCCTATACTTTTTGCGTGAAGCGTGATGGGCTTATTTTACTTAGCCGTGAAACGTGATCGATGATTTTCTTAATCCGTGATTCATGATGGTATGACTTCCAATCTTTTTACGTGCACGTGAAGGAAAGATTCGATTTAACCGTGACCCGTGAATGGCAGATAGAAATATTCGTGATTCGTGA